TCAGCAGGTAGCTTTGGTGCTGTAAGAGAGAAATGTCTCTATGAGGTGCCGTTCAGCATGTGGTCTTGAGAAAAGGTGTCGTAAGGTAAAACATCCTTCATGTGTTGTTCGGCAGGTAGTTTTGAGAATATGCGCTTTTCCTTCATGGGGTGCCGTTCGGCAGGTAGCCTTAGAGCAGAAATGAAGAGATATCTCATGGGAGGTGCCGTTCAGCATGTGGCTTTGAGAAGAGGCGCAGGAGAAGTGTCACCCGTGGGGTGCCGTTTGGAAACGCAAGAGCTGGAAGATGCCGTTGGAGCTTTGGGAGCTGCCGTAAGCTTGGGAGCTGATGCCATTAGTTAGGAGTTGCTGCTGTAAGCTTTGGAAGCTGATGCCGAAAACTTGGGAGCTGCCGACGTAGGATTTGGAAGCTGATGCCGAAAGCTTGGGAGTTGATGCTGTTATTCTTCATGAGGTACCAGCAGGTAGCCTTGGCGCCGTAAGTGAAAAGTGTCGTTCGGCATGGCCTTGAGAAGAGGCGATGGAGAAGTGTCACCCGTGGGGTGCAGTTCGGCAACGCAAGAGCTGGAAGATGCCTTTGGAGCTTTAGGAGCTGTCGTAAGCTTGCTGCCGTAAGCTTGGGAGCTGATGCCGTTACTTAGGAGCTGCCGCCGTAAGCTTCGAAAGCTGATGTCGAAAGCTTGGGAGCTGCCGTCATAAGCTTCGAAAGCTGATGCCGAAAGCTTGGGAGCTGATGCCATAAGTTAGGAGCTGTCGTGTTAAGCTTTGGAACTGCTGTATGGAAGCTGCCATTCGGCATGGCCTTGAGAAGAGGCGCTAAAAAAAGTGTTACCCGTGGGGTGCCGATCGGCAATGCAAGTGTTTGCGAACTGATGCCATAAAGTTGATGCTAGAGTTGCAGCCGTAAGCTTGGGAAGCTTAGGAGGCCTACTGCCGTAAGCTTTGGGCCGAAGACAAACGCTGAATCATTGGGGGGATGTGAAGACATCGCACGCACCAAATGATGGAAAGGTGCCAAAGGCAGATGCCGAATCATTGGGGGAATGTGAAGACATCACACGCCGAACGACGTAAGGGTGCTGGAGGCAGATGCCGAATCATTAGGGTATGTAAAGACATCGCGCCGAATGATGCAAAGGGTGCCGAAAGCAGATGGCGAATCATTAGGGGATGTGAAGACATCGCACGCGCCGAATGATGCAAAGGTGTCGACGGCAGATGTCGACTCATTGGGGGATGTGAAGACATCGCACGCCGAATGACGTAAGGGTGCCGAAGGCAGATGCTGAATCATTAGGGGATGTAAAGACATCGCGCCCCGAATGATGCAAAGGTGCCGACGGCAGATGCCGAATCATTGGGGGATGTGAAGACATCGCACGCCGAATGATGTAAGGGTGCCGGGGGCAGATGTTGAATCATTAGGGGATATAAAGACATCGTGCGCTGAATGATGCAAAGGGTGCTGAAAGCAGATGGCGAATCATTGGGGGATGTGAAGACATCGCACGTCGAATGACGTAAGGGTGCCGAAACAGATGTCGAATCATTGGGGGGATGTGAAGACATCGCACGCACCGAATGATGCAAAGGTGTCGACGGCAGATGCCGAATCATTGGGATATGTGAAGACATCGCACGCCGAATGACGTAAGGGTGCCGAAGGCAAATGCCGAATCATTAGGGGATGTAAAGACATCGCGTGCCGAATGATGCAAAGGTGCCGACGACAGATGCCGAATCATTGGGGGATGTGAAGACATCGCACGCCGAATGACGTAAGGGTGCCGAAGGAAGATGCCGAATCATTAGGGGATGTAAAGACATCGCGCGCCGAATGATGCAAAGGTGCCGACGGCACATACCGAATCATTGGGGGATGTGAAGACATCGCACGCCGAATGACGTAAGGGTGCCGAAAGCAGATGCCGAATCATTGGGGGGATGTGAAGACATCACACGCGCCGAATGATGCAAAGGTGCCGACGGCAGATGCCGAATCATTGGGGGATGTGAAAACATCACACGCTGAATGACGCAAAGGTGCCGACGACAGATTGTAGGAAGTGTCGATGGCAGCGCTCACAAGGGTGCCGAGGGTACTGAATGTAAGAGTGTTGATGGGCACTTGTTATAGGGTGCCGAGGGCAATCGAGAAGGAGAACGACATAGCCTTTCGTGTCGCTTCCCACAGACGGCACCAATCTGTTGGAGGTAAAAATTAGGCGAGTAGTAATTAGACCAACTTAAAGATGAGGAGGAGGATGATGAAGGTGAGGACCCTCGGTATGTGAGAGCATTCGGTAAGTACATAGGCATGCATACAGAAAACAAATGTACGTGGTTCACTCGAATAATGGGCTACGTCCACGAAGAAGTATGTTTTCATTATGATAAAGACTGTATACATTGCACATAGGGTTAGACCCAAGGAGAGGAGGAAGAGTGTTGGAGGCTCATGGCCGAAGGCTGAGGGCCGAAGGCTGAGGATCTGGCTGAAGGCAAATGATCTGTGGGCTTGTAAATGGGCTTAGGAGTAAGCCTATGAGGCCCTTATGAGCCATATGGTGCCCTAGTAGCTTGTCTAACTCTCCCCCGTTTCTTGAAGGAGAGAAGTCTCCTTTTATAAGTGAGGGAGAGTCTCATCTTCTTATGGTTTGTCGATGTGGGACTCCCTTTCCTTTGCTTGGATTGGCTTGGGAGTGCTTGGCCAGATATTGTACAAACAATAGGTACAAACAAGCAAAAAGGAAAATAAAGCAATAAATGAGAAATTAAAAAAAGATCTTCCAAAATGGCCAAAGGCCTTGGACTAAATACAATGAGATTGTGAACTCAGCAATATAGATTACGAAAAGAGAATCCAAAGGCTTTGTTTGCTGAGAACATTATATAGTCTTTATGTATTTGATTTTGAGTTA